AACCAGTCGTAATCGTTACAACCATTCATCGTGCTACAAATTGGAACAGTCAATGCACATTTGTATCAAGTTAACGCATCCATTTTGGAGGCCACATCACGTCATCGGAAAACCCGGCTAGCTAGCTTTTACAACTATTGAAGAAGCTCGCTTGCAGAACTGATGCTGCCAGCGCTCGGTCACGTACATGCAAATTCTTTGCGATGCAACACTAGTAGTGGCAATGCCAATGATCCATCCGAATCTATGCCACCCAGGAACCGATCGAGAGCCGCATGTACATTGAATAAGCAAATACATGTACTAGCTAGAGAAACACGCTGTTGGATCGAAGATCTTTTGAACATCAATCAAGTGGATGTGCTGCCGCTGGCGGCCGGGTAGCCATATACTAGCAACATGCAATTCCATATAATGCTAGCTGTAAGTTCGACTTCCGAATTCTAGCCCAGACCCTTTCGATGGTGCGCAACGCTTCCGCCTGACGCCAACACTGGACATGGATTCGCGACCGCATGCAAACCAACAAGCTGCAGTCATTCCCGGATCTCGCATGCATTTACGACAGTCCAGTAAGTGGATCGGAACATGCAAATGGCATTGGAATAGGTCAACTCGCCCTGCACTGGCAGCCTACGAGCACGCTTTCTTAGATTCCGCTGGACTCCGTGAAACTAGTACGAGCAAAGCCTTGGATGACCCGGACTCCACAAAGTACTCACGTACGCTTTCGCAAGTGCAACGTGCGGGCAGTTTGATTTGCAGAGACCTGAAAAGGATTCATTGCGACTACTTGTCAACGTTCTCAGTCAATCCGTGTTTGCTTTCAAAGTCACCTACCTAGCAAAGCATCGGAGTACTCGCTACATGTGCTTCATGCAAAGTCGCTCTAAACAATCCCATCATGTACACCCGCCTCGACCCGCCTCGCCTCCTGTGTTTTGGCATATCGAAGTATCGCTCTAAACAATCCCTTAATGTACACCCGCCTCTCCCCGCCTCGTGTTTATTAGCATATTACAGTGTTTACCAAATGATCATGGTAGCTACTAGAATCAGATTCATAAGCGAAGACTTGTACTCGTCTTCTTCGCCCTTGAATATTACTAGCAATTTTTAGCTCGGAGGCGCCCAAATCTGGATTGTCGACTCACGATGTGTGCACAAGATTGCCCTGCATGTAAAAGCGTGAAGTTGTCATCAAGATTGTCACATGACATAGAGACACTTCCCAAAATCCGCAGCGGATGAGACAGGACGGCTGCCCACAGTCGGATGGTCGTTCCAGGTGAACACAACGAAGTCTCTCTCGTTTCTGTGAAAGTAAACACCAAGAGGCAATCTAAGAATTCAAAGGAATGACATATGGCCTGCCGGAACGAAGGCCTCACTGGAAAGTCAAGGCCACTCAATCAACGTCAATGGAACTGATCAACGGGGCTGAAAAAAGCAAATGCTTTCAGAGCGCAATAGCCCACGGGACCTGTTGGCTGCATGACATGACAGCGTTCGGGCAGCGATCAGAAAACGGGTCCGCACGGAACCGTACTGGGCACAACGAAAATTGGTTCTTCTGCAATTAATATAGCTGAAAACAGTCCGAGAAAGAAGGAGTGGGAGACTTATCCTAGCAATCGAAACAAAATGAGACTGATCAAGGCCGCCGTCATATGGTTGTCACGTACTGCATCTGAACGAATCTTCTGTGTGACATGCCCGCCCATGTTAATTTCAGCGGTTTGGATTCACCTGTACACCTTACTATGGGTTGTTCCGCAGGGACGCCTCTTGTTTGCAAGTTTGCTTGTGGCCCGCTTTCCATGCTGTTTTCTGGCACCCTGCATAAGGTCAACCAACCAGATTGAGTGGACGCCTGAATGCACTGAACATTGCAAGGGTGCCCCCAGACTGAAGTAGTGGAGGTTCAGTAACCCTCTACCGAAGACACAGCAACACCTCAATAGTAGCGATGTCAACGGGTATTTCCTTCAGCTGCACATATCAGTTCAGGCGGAGCATAGCTACTTCAAGGACCTGAGGCTTTAGACAAATGGAGATATGCGAGACAAAGTAGAAAATGTTATGAGCTTCGGATGAGGTTGTTCTGAAAGCGAAGTTACAACAGGGACCAAATGGAAAGAGCATGAAGCTGCTTCTTCGATCTAAGAAGATCTTGTCGACTTAGCGACTTGAAACATACGCAGACTCTCTCCAGATTTCCAAGTAACGAACACTCATCCTGTCTGAGAACTAGAGAGACAAGATACAAAATTCCAATCTGCAATCAACATTTGTCTACACCGGTCACGTCTCTTTGAAAAGTATAAAATGATGAACCAGCTCACCTGGTCCACAGTAGACTGCGAGCTTGCACGCCCCACACCTTTGAAACTCTCCAGGATTGTCCTCAAACTTCCCGCACCCCGGGTTCGAGCACTTTCTCACCGCTCTCCTGTCTTGCAATGTTAAGCCCCTCTTCAGCGCTTCCTCCATGGTAGCATCCCTGTCTGCCGATTTGACCGGGTATAAGAGGGCCCGTTCCTCGCGTTCAGTGTTCGACAAAAGAATCTTACGCAGCTGTGATGCTCTTTGCACGGCTGCCCGGTCTTCTCGTGCGCTTTCCTTCATTTGAACCATTGAAAACTGGCTGCCCAGGAAGCACCCAGTTCCATTCCGAGCAAGAGCAGTTGACTCTGTGAGGAAACCCGCAAAAATAGCGAGCCTCATGGAATCGTCAAAGTTCTGCAGCTCGTCCTGGCAAAGAAGCAGGGCGAGAACCGACGATCTGAGCATTGGGATCTCAGGAGCGGCTTCTTGGCGTCTGGTAGGGCTGTGAACTCGATGCGCAGTGAATTGGGCAAGTGTCTCAATAGTGTAGAGGATCTGCGCCTTACTGGAAGACTCCATGAAAATCTTGGCTGTAAAGCGGAGGAAGCTTTCCTCGAGAGACTTCACAGGAGATCCAGTGAAGCAGTACGTCCGAGCAGTGTGAATGACTGAGGCAGCAATCATCACCACCATCTTGTTCTGGAAGTCTGCAACCGCATGGTCCATGACTGCCGCGAGAAAGTCTGTGCTCTGGCCGATCTCCTTCCGGAAAGCCTCAGAGTAGAAAAGCTTAGGAATGGCACAAAGGACCGCTTCTTTTATCTGAAGCTCTGGCCGCATCCCTAAATCCAGTTCTACACCCAGAGTGAACTCCTTGAGAAAGAGGTTCTTCAGAAGCACAGGCAGACGCGGCGACACTTTCAGTATGTACTTTGCAGTGCGGCTGTCCACTGCAAGGCACTCTACCGCGCTGGCACAAATGATTGGCTTCAACAGAATTGGGGCATAACCGTTCGCCGTAGCAGACAGCTTCTCCGTATCCTCAGGGCTAGGCAGCAGAAGCCACCGTCCAGCCAACGACTCTTCCAACCCCTGGTTGACTGACTTCATGAACCCCCTCTCTAGGAGAAAGACAGCTGCATGAACTGCACTCTCTGCGGACGCTGATCTCACGAATGGCTGGAAGATATCCTTGAAGCGTCGGATAGCTAGCAACCTAACCACCGCGTCGGTTGACTGCGATTCCTCCAGGATGCGCTGCAAAACTTGCGATGTTTCTGGTCTCATTGGATCCACAAAAGCGGTATTCCGTGGAAACACGGTGTTGGCAATCCCTTCAATCTGAGCCCTGCTGTACCCAGCCGCCATGTTCGCTGCCCCTTCGCCGGAGTGCAAAACTCAAGAGTGCGCCTGCCTTTTTTAAACGCCCTGCTGCAGCCAATCGGCACCACCAACCAATGACGAATTCCTGGATCAAAATGCCTGAACTGCTGACTAGCTACTTTCACAGAGATTCCTAGCTGGATTTCAAGGAGTGCCATGCAGACAAATGCCAATGCCAATGGCATAGCGTGCCTCGACTCCATTGTCCAAGCTTGATCTGTCTTGTCAAGAGCTGTACGTTGCATTGTCAGCAACACAGGAGATCTATTTTGCAAATATTGCAACGGCGCGCCGCTCAATGTGCGTGCGCGCGTCTTTCCAGCTTCCCCACCTCTCAGTCTGCCGTTTCCGGTCGTTTCGCGATTCCGCCGTTCAGCCTGTAGCCCGGAATACCGTCTTGCATTCCCTTCCTGTGTAAAGGCTCGTACAAGGCCTCCGAGCCGGGCTCTGCCAGGTGTGCAGGTGAGCCCGGTCTGGTATAAATAACTCCTTGTTGTCCTAATATTGGTCAGCGGAAGGGTCTCGCTATAGGGTTGTATGTCTTTCTACTTTCGTGCGTGTCTGTGCAACGCCTTCATCAAGCGTCGCGCTAAATTCAGTTTTGCCGCCCTCAATATCTCTTAAAGTAATCTTGCTGTCATAAGAGTACCTCGAGGGGTATTCCGATATCGCGATCACACAAAAAGGTCTAGATTAGACGTTTGCTCCGCAGCAACATCTGCCATTTATGGTCGAAGACATGGACTTCAATCATTGTGCCCGCGGCCAACATCATTTGATAACTGTTCACCGGCAATATGCGAGCCGTCATATTGCATGAGTTCATCAAAACGTCAAGCAAGTTGCTTACGGTGAATTCTCTCTCAGAGACTATACACGCATGGGTGCAGATTTGCCCGGCCGGCCTCTTCGAAATTGCATAGCGGCATGTCGTGCACCAGCCGCTGTTGATAGCAACTTGCATTGAGCACACTTTCCGGGCCAGTCTGCTGGCGTTGGAATAGTGAAGTAGGGCCAGCTCAGAACTTGATTCAACACATTCAAGGAGTGACGCTTGCAAACATGCAACATTAGGCCGGCTACAGCCATGAAGATGCGGGGCAATCAGCACGGATAGCCTCTCCTGAAAGAATTGTATACTAAGAGCAAGGTAAGTCCAATAGCGTGTTCACTTTAAAGTCTCGACAATCTTGGATGGACATCCTTTGTGTACACCGGTAACCTTTGCGCGAAGTACCACCTGTCTCTCATGCACTCAAAATGTTTACCCGTTGGTCGAGCCCGCTGGCACCAACTTTGCATGCAAAAGTTCGTACTCCTTTTTGTCGCCCTTGAGTGTCTCGAGCGCTTGTCCTAAGGAAGGCCGGTCTTCGAACGAGGAACCAAGGACGGGCGTGCTTCGACGCGACAGTGCGTGCAGCATGAGGAGGGTCAGGAGCTGCCAGCCAGGGGACTTCAGAGGAGGAAGAGGGTCCGTGAAACTGAACGTCCGCACGAGATTGCCCTGCATGTCACACAACATGTCGTCAGAGCCACTCCGCGGCACAAAAGACAATCCTCAACTAGAGTGTCCTACCCCTTGGAAGTTTTTGCGGATGGAAGGGTTTATTATGGGGTCAAGGATTTTTCGTTTTCGAAGCAGTGAATCTGCTGAGGTTAGTAGGGGGTTCCGCGCTCAAATTTCAATCTCGGTCATCCCGGTTAACCCGGTAAGGGTTTCGGCCAATAGAATCACGAATAAAAATGCCTTGCCGTTTTAGGAACATGTCGTGTCAACAAGGGAGGCATAGCCCGAGGCATCTTCTATCGAAGACTTTCCAGCACAAGTGAAGGACGGCCGGCCAAAGTCGGATGATCGTATCCACATGAAAGACGACGAGGCTCTCGCTGTTGTCAGAAAGCGACACTCAGAGGCAGTTGGTAAATACGGAGGAGTGACGCATAGCCTTCCTTAATGAAAAGCCGGACTCCTGAGCAAGACAATTCCTTCCTCACCCACTGCAGACGGCTTCAGCCCGCGACGTAAGAGCAGTAGCCCACAGGGCCTGGATAGCAAACCTGAGACCGACGGCAACGCCTACTTGACCAGATATGCAGTCTCACTTCAGGAACGGGAAGATTAGCGCACTTCAAACGCGCGGAAAGCGTGAGAATTGACAGCGTGAGCGACGCCTTACAAGCGCTTCCTCCAGCTCCGGACGCGGCACCTTCAGCTGCATCGCGCGCTGCACGTCCGGCAGAGCCCTTCGGACGCACTCCTGGAACGCGCGCCTGATCGCTGCGGACGCTCCATTGTCCAGAACTACTCTCGGCTCGTAGTCCCGTCCCCCCACACTGATCACCCCACCTTCAGACTCCCCCCCCTGGAAAAAGGCGTCCGGACCGTGCAGGAAACGGAGGGTATCGGCCGAGATCCACGAGTCCAGGGCCGTCCAAAGCCGTCCGAATTGCGACAGCTCCGCACTGAACCCTTGCGGGGGGGCGCCCATCCACCCCTGCCCTGAGTCGTCATCTTCGTCCTCTTCCGGTGTAACGCTGGCCCCGCTTGTGGACGTCGCGTTACTCCCCCGCCCCTGCTCGGTCTGCCGGTTTTCGCTCTCGTTTCGCTCTACGACGCCCCCCGTTTCTAGGCCGCGCTTCACCCCACCGCTTTCTTCCGGTCCTTCCTCATTCTCGAGCCCGCTTATTTCCGTCAGACTGGCACTCGCCCGTTTTGAACGAGCATCTCTGCGACTGCCACTTGGCGCCCCCTCGTTGGCTGGTTGGACCGTCATCCCGAGACTCTGCATTGCCTCAGTCGCATCGAATTCTCCCGTTTCGACCCTAGCTGCCGCCTCCGCCAAGGCAGTTGCTACTGCCTGTGCCGACTGCAACCGGAGATCCGGTTCTTCTTCCGGCTGGCCGCGATCAGATGCAAAATCAGTAGCGCCGTTTGCGCCCTTTTTTAGACTTTCCACGACGCCCTTCCCAGCCGCCCCGTGCGCTTTACCCTTCTCTTCAGCACTGCGTTTGGAAGGCCGGGGCTCTGACGTCATTCCTGACGATGCCGCATCAATCCTTTGCCTTGACGCTTCGTCTGTCGATCCCGCTTCTGTTGGCACAGGACTTTCCTTTTCTCCTTCGGTGTAGCGTGAGACACTGATCCCCGCTTCCGCAGCGCTCTGGTCCAACCTCCGACTCCATTCTGCCCCCGACTCCCCAAAGCCCGTCCCCATTCCGGCCATTGTCAAATCAGCCTCTCTTCTCCCCGACACGACTTTTGTCGCATCCGTTTCCCCATTTTTCTGAAGTCCGGATTCTTGCTCCACTTTCCTCTCTGCTTCTCTTGAAGCCGCACCCTTTACAGGCCCTGATTTTCGACTTCTAGCTCCTACAGACCCGTCAACGGATCTTTTCTGGGCACCCCTCCTGGGAACGTACCCCTCAATCGCGTCCGATTGTCCAGCCTCAGGAGCGCTGACGTCAGCGCTGACGTCACCCGGCGTCCGTTCCACAAGCGTGGCGCTCATGACGGCTGGACTCGCGGAGCTGCCCTCTTCCTCTGGTCTCCGCTTGGTGACGTCAGCAGCTGCGAAGGGAAAGGGCTGACATCAAAGACCGGGAAAGTGTTCGTAACTGTGATCGCTCATTTCGCTTGGTCGAACACGTATTCGCAGCAGATCTTCGATCTTTGGAAGCCTTCTGTTCCTTCGCCTTGCTGTGCGCTGCTTTAACGACAGAGGGCCTCCCATTGCTTGAGGGGAATGCATCAAGATGGTGGCCCGGTACTCTGTTTTATCGGGTAGAGCTACGTGGAGCAGAGCCTTGGATGCGAATGGAGTCGGAGTCCAGCGAAGTGATCGTGCTTGCATTTTTAAACAGCGCAAAACTCCTTCTCCCTGAAATGGTCGATCTCTGTCATTGGTGCGGAACAATAATCAGCAGTCGGGATCCAGCCTCGAGTGAACGTGTACTTCGCTCAGTCGACGCTTTCACCATCCATTCAGGCCCTTCCTGCGGATCACCGTCATACCCCATCGGCGTCTTATTTCAAACGAACTGGACCCAACAAACGTACATGCGCGAAGCACAAATCATTCTCCATTAAAATTCTCCACCAGTCCTGATATTCTCCACCAGTCCTGATTCTTTTGCTGGTCGACCTGGTCACCGCTCTAAGGCTCTGAATATTTCTTCAACCGAAATGAAGTGAGAGAAGAATCTTTACCTTGAAAACTGGCTCGCTTCTCCGCTCCCCCTGGCCGCCCCGTCACCGTAGCAACTATCGCCTGGAGCTCGTCCCCAGTCGGCAGCAGCGGGCGCTCGTCCTCGAGAGACGCCCGGAACGCCCCGCTGCGGACCACGTGGTCCAGGCCGCAGAATCGGACGGTGTCGGAAGTGTCGAAGACGCGCTTGTGCGCGAGGGAGATGCGGTAGTGGCCCTTCCTGCATGGTGAGGGGCGGAATCTCATGATGGGACCGAGGAGTTCAAGGAGTCGGCGATCTTTCTCAAGAGGAAAAAGTCAGATGCTTGTCAAGGCAGAGTGGGCTTCAAGAAACGTTGCGGAAAGGGGGGAGTACAGTATCCTGAGCGCAACTTTGTGAGAACTGAGGGGAGGTTGAGCTTGACCCCTGATCGTGGTCCCTTGACTCCCAACTCCTTCTGGAATCCTGTCTTTCCTGACGTCTTCGAATTCCCAGTCTTCAACGCCGCTCAGGCCTCAATGTGACTATTATCGCCCTCAGTCCAACAATACAGCATGTGAACTCTTCTCAGTGTAATTGAAAGGGAGCCTCACCTTGAATCTTTCTGTGGCAGCACGTTGTCGCACAGCGGGTACCCACACACGCCAGCAATTGCCCTTTCCTCGATGATATCATCATAGTCGGACTTGGGTAACAGACGCCTCTGCAGAGCCAGAAAAAGGGTGGTCTCTGATGCACTGTGAATGGGAAAACAATCCCTTTCTGAGACCACACAATCGCTCCCTAAGGTTTTAGATGACGTGACAAGCATACTTTTTCCTGCACGCCAGCGGCAGTACGTGGAAAAAGGAGGTCTTTGCGCAAAGCATCGAGGCCGAAGCTGTGACAGTCAAACATATGAACCAACCAGTAAGGTCGAGTGCTTCGAACATGCAGGATCACTAAGGAGAAGCAACAAGGCCAAACAAAAAGTGGGGCTGATCCTGCAAGTAGAAGCAATTGTGACACATTCCCGGTTTCGAACCCCGACCTGCGGCCTCGCTGCTAACGGAGACTTGCTTTATCCCGATAAGGGAAACGTGCAATTAGCCGCAGATTCCGGCTGACAATGAACAGCGCCTTCCCTTGTTTGCCTTCTCCAAGTCTTACGTCCCTTCTTCACACGTAGGTTAAGGTGAAGCATGCTGTCAAACTCAATAGGTCACGGTGCTGCCTGCTGATCGGCCACCACAGAACCGAGCCAGTTATTCTGCAAAATATTTCAGCTGAATATTTAAGCTCCCTTAAGATGTTTTCATTTCCAAGCGGCATGGGGAGCTTATTGGAGTGTCAGAGAAACGCAACCTCTGCCATGCACCAGAATCGGCGCCTAAGCCCCTAGCACCCCACCACTCGGGACCCCCTACTTTCGCTTACTCAAGTCGGCATTGAGTGCATTCATTAAAGGAACTTCTTGAAAGTGTTGACTAGGTCAAAGATGTTCTCAGCATAATCTCATGCGTGATTTACATCAACGCACGGGGTTTGAATCAGCAAGAAGAAGAGTCTTAAGCTGCAGGTCTAGTGAGCATGTAGGACTGTCTGTACGGGCCTTTCCATCCTCAATACAAGATGATAAGATACTCATCTGGAACTTCATGTAAGAGACCCAGGGCCGCGTGTGAACAAACTCCTCATGGCCCCACTCAATCAGTAACATGAATGTATCCACTCACCGAAGCTTGCAGCTGCTTGTCCGTGGTGGGCCCCTCCAGCAGCGCCATCTGCGCTTCAAACACCGCCGCGTTGTGCTCGCGCAGTGTCCTCGCCAGTATCTCCGCTTTCTCTCGCCGGAGCCTGTCATTTGTATCCACTTCTTCAACGATGGGCTCCACAGCAGCTTTGGGTGGGGGCCCCAAGTCCTTTCCTACTTTCTTGGGGCCACCTCTTGGGGGTTTCGCAGCCTTCTTAGACTTCGGCTGCGAACGCAAATTGCCACTGACCGCCTGATCCGCCTGTTGCACCCCAGCCATCGAAGACCCCGAACCCCGCCCGCTTTGTCCCTCGTCGTTCGCGCTTGCCTTCACCTGCGGACCGCCAATGTCAGCATTGCGTACAGGCAGTGGCCTCGCGGTCACTGAACCGCGCTCCTGCAATCTTCTGGTTCCTTGCGCTGGTTGGACTCGCTGCTCTTGTTCAGACACGGTTTGTTTTGCTGCCACTGCGCCGGCGGCGGCAGCCTCGTCTCTGCCGGCGCTCTCCTCAGGCTGTGCAGCAGCTTGGATGTCCTCGTCTGCGGGCCCATAGTGGAAGATAGCGGGCACACGGTCGGCCATGGCGCTCCTCTGCGCGCCCCCTCTTCCACTGCCAGCTTTGGACGAGTGTGTTCTGCTAGTTCCGAGCTGTGTCTCTGCTCGATCATGAACAGAGCAGAGACAAGCTTGTCAAGGCGTTTGAGGCCCTGCAAAGCCAGATGTTGAGGAAGCGAGGGACCCCGGCCCCCTTTCTGGTGCCCCGGGAGCTTTATGCCCAAGCGCTTCTCCGAGTACATAGCTCGGGTACTTCGCCCCGGGTTCATCTGTCTCAGGCCCAGGGGGAGCCAAGTTGCAAAATCGCAGGCTGAGGCAGCATGCAGGTACCGTACACCTTGTAAAGTGCTGCACGCAGCACTCAGATTCCACTGTCAACATCAGGGGAGCCAGGTGGACGAGAGGCGCAAACTCAGAGTCAAAGCCTCTTGGGCTTCTATTAGTATTAGCTAGGCACTTCAGATGTGGCCCCTTCTTGTGGCGTGCAGGTTGCCATGGAGACGTTCTCTGCTAGCATAGCTGGATGTGTCTGCGCAAGAGGCCGGCCTCTGTTCCAGCTGCGCGGTTCCTGACGTCAAGAGGGTATTTCACCTGGCGCTCTATTGTAGTCCTTAAATGATGACACAGAAGGTTATGTAGGCTGGGCAGCAATGGGGGAGCAGTCTGGCAGCTGGTCGCTCGAGGATTTACTCGAGGGAGGGGACATCAGCCGGACGCTGAGTGGACGGTCTGCTGAGCACAGCGGAAGGACCGTCACGCACGATGCTCAGAGCGTAAGGGCAAACGAGGGCAGCAGCTCAGAATTCCAGCATTTAGGGACGAGAGATGGACCGATAGGGCGGACCGTAGGTGGTGGTCTGGAGGTGGGAATTGGTCCCGAGCAAGGGGTGCCCGTTCTTTTGAATGGGTCAGGGTATCTGCCTGGGCCGGGGTCCTACGGTTTTGGGCATGATGCTAGGAACGGGGAGCACCATCCTGGTCACATCAACTCTCACAAGACGGGTGCTGACGTCAGCAATCATGAAGAGGGAATTGAGATGCCCCCAGACAAGGTGGTCAAAGCTTATACGGAGAAGCAACGGTTGCCAAAAAGCGACGCTCTTCTCAGCGCTCCTGCTGCGAACGGCACCGCAAAGGAATGGGAGAGAGTGCACGGGCCGCAGCCCTCGAGCGGCCTGGCGGCGACCCTTGGCAGGCAGGCGGCACGCCAGCTCATCCTGCTCGCACTCCTGCTCCGTGATGTAATCATGGGCCTCATGGGGGCTTCTGCGCACCTTTGGGGGCTGCTCAGGCAGCGGAAGAAGCGCTCGTTTCGGGCGTGGGTCGTCTTCGTCCTGCGAACGGTCAGGGAAGGGGCACTGGAGACGGTTCAAAGCCTGGGGGCCTGTGCGAACAACTTCGGGGCTTATTCGCATCGGAGGGTGAAAGTGTGGGCTGAAGTGTATGGGAAGCAGCTGCCGCAGCCAGTGCAGGAGGCGGCAAGGCAGATTGTGGGGCAGGGGTCCCTGGCAATTCGGCGGTGTGAAAAGGCCCTTGACGGGGTGTATGACTGGGGACAGGGCCAGTTGGCGGGGTGAGTAGGCGCCTGTGCACAATTTGCAGGGATCTAAGTTGTGAACATTCTTTCCAGAGTCCATTCACAAGTTTACGTACGCTTGCTGACTATATGGCTTTATTGATGCCCACTGTAAGTTCAGCAATGCTACCGTTCACTTTACACTTTTTTCCGACGGACTTCTCGACCGGAAGGCTTGTCCAGAGTTAGATGGCTGAATGGGTCACTTGCACTCTCAGAATGTTTCATGTTGGCCTCGCCTTCTGGACTCTTTCAAAGTACATCCGTTTTCTGCTGTCGTGCAAGTTGGCCCTTTCAGTCTGGAGGGAAGGCGAACAGACTAGTCCGCCCTCTGCCCTCTGCTGAGCATTGTTTGCCTGCCTCTTGACGCTATCTCTTTGTTCTAACCTTTCCAATATCCCTTTCCTCTAGCTGATTCTTCAACCATTTCAACTCAAAAGGCTTGTCCACCCCGTGTAACAGCCGCTCTCAAAGGCCTTGTCCTGAGTATTGTAACCTGGATGAACTCCTTTTTGCTGTGGCGCAGTTTGGCCCTTTCTTTCTGACAAACATACGAACGAACCCCTGCAACTTTTCTTCGTACTCTGCCCTTACATGCATTCGCTCAAATACTTGTTGCCTGCCCCTTGCCAGGAAGCGGAATCGTACGCCAAAGCCCCGGCACAAAAGCGGAGGCGGCGCCTTTACAGTCCTGATGGCATTCCTAGTGTCTCTTCTGACCCTGCGCCTGAGTTGGAACCTCCTCGCACTGAGTGGGGGGGCCCTTCGCCCAGCCGTTCCAGCCCCCCCGGACCCGTTCGACGTCGTATACATCCTCCAACAACTAGAGCAAGAGACTGCCGCCAGTATGGGGTGGGGCCCCGGAGAGGAGGAAGAGACGCGGAAGGAAGAGGTGGAACGGGTCTCGATCCACGATCTGATGGTACTGAAAGAGCTGAATGAACGGAAGGAACGATTGGCGATAACTAGAGCGGCGGAGGAAAGGGAGAAGGCGGCGAGGGTTGCGGAGGAGCAAGGGGTTGCTGCTGCGGACTCTAAAAGGAAGGGAGTAGGGGGGAGCGGAATGGGGAGCCAAGTCGGGGTGGGGAAGACTGCGGGCGGGAAGAAGGGGCGATATTTCGGGTGGTTGGATAAAGGGGGGGAGGAAGTGATCTGGGAAGCGCCCGCGTTTTCGGAGCAGACGCACCTGCGGCTGCGGCACGGGAATGCAAGTAAGGGCCGAAGTTGCGCTCAAGGTCTCCGCTTCGCAAAGTGAAAAGATGATGTCAAATTCCACGGAAGATTATCAGAGCTTTCCAATCGAATCGGTCGTAGGCTGTCGGCCAGCATGACAGGCAGAGAGTGATGACGTCAATTTGGTAGGATGCTCTAGGTGTGGAGCAACAAGGTATCGAGTTGTGGTCGCGTGTCCGTCGCCCAGATGCGGATTGCCATGCACTTGGCGTACGCTTAGCTTAGCTCAGGAACAGTCTGATGGTGACGTAAGACGTTCCCGCTTTTATGTGCGCTGTGCAAAGCCCTTCCAACAATTGTGATCTGCTGTCCAGTCCAGGATGTCTAACTGGCGATCTGCAGCTGTTTTCAATATTCCGGGTATTGTGACGTACTCTTTTCAAGTCATCAACAAGGATTACTGACGATTGATGGCGAGCGCCCAAAGAGACATGCCGTGTTCACTCTACTGTGTGAGCGAGGTCAAACTTTCATACCCGTCCCTTTGGCTGCAGTTCCTCGGATGGGGTTCGGAACCGCGGGGCTGGGCAATCAAACCAAGCAGGCGGTCTTATGGGCGATCGAAGCTGGCTACAGGTAAGTCGTAGACGCTTCCCGTCACTCTTCTCTTTTCTGTCAAATTTGGATCCTCCGGATTTCTTCCTCTTGCGGCCAACTACGGAGTTGGTTCTTCGTTCGAAGCTTGGGGTACCGTTTTGTTATATTTCCGAAACAGGCATTGACTTTCTCCTTCAATCTGTTGGATGGAAGGAACCAGCAGGAAGTCACTCAAATTGGCTTTTGAACGGATCACCGTACACGCATCTAAACTCGTTTAATTTCGAGTAACCCTTTTTGGCCTGCCGAACACTCAGGACATACTTTAAACGGGAACAGAAATTTCAAAGTCTAGCAGGTAACATAGGGTTTCCGGGATTCCTAAAGTGTTCAATAGAGGGTTATCTCGCGTTGAGCCTGACGACATTAAACGCTGGTACAATATCTACGTTTCGCATCTACGTGACTGTCAGAAGTCCACAACCTTTCTGGACGCAGTGCACCTGGATCTCAACTAGATCTCGACACACCTTCTACAACGAACGTCTTTTTCCGTCCTGACCCCGAAAGGACGAAGGAATTGAGTTTTAAGCGAAGGCTACTTTGAAATAAGCTTCACAAGGATTCAAACCTGGTTCTAACCAGGTTGTTCGACCCGGCGAATAGGCTTAACCAGGGACTAAACCCGGTTCTGACCAGGTTGTTCGACTCGGCGACTGCGCGGGAGTGGTACCGCCAGGACGAGTTGGGAGCTGCCATCAAGGAGAGCGGGATCCCTCGAGACCACCTGTTTCTGGTAACGAAGGTGAGCGCAGCCGGCGCATTTTGGTCCTAGATACAGTGGCATTCTGCCTCACCTGTTTCTCGTATTAAAGGGAAGCGAAGGCAGGTCGATCTGGTGTCCTAGAAACGGTGGCAATCTGAGTTTCGCGTTTTTTTAGCATGGAATTCTCGCTTTAAAGAGGGCGTCACGGGACCGTAACCCCTGACGTCACGTAGCGGCATCGGAACATGGCTTCCTAACAAGCTGTCGCCAAAAACTGTTGTATTCACGCCTGCACCAAGAGTGCTTGGCCTTGCTTGAAGTGGCCGGGTGATGACGTCCCGTCAATGCTTTCTGTAAAGTGCCATTTACTTGCTGGTTGTTAGAAACACCATTTGGAGGCTGAACCACAAAGCTCTGCCGGAAACCGGAAGGCTGTTGTCGGGCCATCCGGCTGCATTCAGGCGTCTTAGTTATCATTTGACGAAACGAATTCGAAACTTCACTTTAAGCTCCGACTTGCTCCAATCCGTTATCACCTTAGGCCTGCGCAACGCCTTCGGCATCGCCACAATCTTCATCGAACCATCACCGGTACGCATCCCCGCATCGCTTTCCAGATCGCCTTTCCACAATGCTCGATCCAGCGGCCAACTGGAGCCGCAAATTTCACCGCAAGCATGCAGAAACACCCCGCTTCCCTAGGCGCATTATCACACCCGTTCGTAAAAGCAGCTTTGCCTCTGGTGTGAATATGCAGATCCATCCCCGGGACATGACGATCCAGGGCACGAAAGCCGCGCTAGCGGGCGCTTTGAAGGACCTCCAAACCGACTACGTAGACTTAGCGTTGCTGCACTACCCGCGCTGCTTCGAGCAACTAGAGGGGTGCTACAAGAACGGGAAGGTCGTCCCAGGTTCCTGGATGGACGGGTAAGTCTTAAGGTTGAAAATTTTCGACATGTTGGACTTGAGCTATTGTTGGATGGATGGATGGACTTTTCTGGCTCGGATGTTGTGGAATCTTTGGCGTCAGAATTGCTGCGCTGTACACTGTGCTTCGAGCAACTAGAGGGGTGCTAAAGAACGGGAAGGTCGTCCCAGGGTCCTGGATGGACGGGTAAGTCTTGAAGTAATAAATTTCGACATGTTGGATTTGAGCTACTCTTGGATGGATGGATGGACTTTTCCGGCTCGGATATTGTGGAATCTTTGGAGTAGAATTGCTGCGCTGTACACTTTGCTTCGAGCAACTAGAGGGGTGCAACAAGAACGGGAAGGTGGTCCTAGGGTCCTGGATGGACGGGTAAGTCTTCCTGAGTCGAAGATGTGAAAGTTGCTGCGCTGTACAGTGCTTCGAGCAACTAGAGGAGTGCTACGAAAACGGAAGGTGGTCCTGAATTCTAACTGGACGAGATCTGTGCTTCGATGACAACCACAGAATGGGCGGGACAGGAGTCCGAACGTGACCGGATGGATCGGAAATGGTCGGGAATACTTTTCACACCTTGTATCGCTCGTAGATTGGTCATGCGACCGTATTTTTAGAAATGTATGTATCACGATGCCACAACAAGCGCCCTTCAGTGATACTGACGTCCGTCTTTGGCAGTTGGACGGCTCTGGAGAATCTGTACTGGGAGGGCAAGGTGCGGGCCTTGGGGGTGAGTCCTTGTTCCGGTTCCGGTTCCGGTTCCGATTCGAGCCCCGTTTGCCTTCTTGTTACCGTTTCATTCAGGTCCTCGTTTCTTGTCGGTTCTGACGTCCTTTTCTGTGCCCGTTCCGCCTTTTTTCCGTGTTGCTTACCATTCCGGTTACTTGCATCTTCGTTCGTCATGCACAAAAAAAATTGCACCGGTCTCGGCTTCGACAAACAATCGTACTCTCTTCATGGACTTCGAGACAGTATTACCCTTTGGATCGAGGCTAGACATTTTAGCGTCAGGACAATAGAAGTAGAATATTCATTACTGTCGTTGATGGAAGTTTCTGAGCCGAGATTGTAGATTTGGTAGAATCTGAACGACACCGCTTGATTCAGCAATAGTTTCCCCGTCTTTCTGTCCAGACCTCCCTTCTCGGGTTTGTTTCTTTTCGTTTCCTCTGTCGTTGTTCTTGATTTTCTTGATAGGTCTCATACTGTTTCCGAACTCCTCGAACCGTCTGTTTTCAACCTCCTGGATAGCCCGTATTTTCCTTTCTGACTCTTCTTTCGCCCACATCTTTAAGATTGTACATGCTCAAAATCGTCAAACCTCCCAGACTTTTACCTTCAAAGTCCTGACAGCGTGCCACATACTCAAATTTTGTCCCCCAATCTCCGGAGGTGTCAAACTCTCATATCCAAAAATTCCTTTGACTCAAACATCAAACTCTGAAACCCTCAAACACGCTTCCTCAAACACCCATTCGCAGGTGAGCAACTTCGACATGCGAGAAGCGGGCGCTGTTTGCCGCTTCGCTTCCAACAAGATACAACCGCACGTCTTCCAGGCGTAAGCCCGCCCCTACCGCCCCTGTCTTGCTTCCTGATGTCAAGGTTGCCCTTCTTATATAGATCGCTTGAGGTTGTTGCTTCGAGATTCTCTTCTGCCTTTGAATATCGACATCTTTAAAGCGGTCCACTTCTGTTTCAGATACGATCGGGCTGAAGATATGTCCGCACCCATAGACGTATGTGAAGATCCTTCATATTCATCTCCATTGTACGATATGCTGCACGACTTTCAGATTGGCGACCTTTGCGTTACTCTTGGTATGTCTACCTCACATTGAACTTGGGTTAGGCGATTGGCGGCCCACGTGACAATGATTGCAAGTTATGAAATGATTGCCGGGTTGACGGTGGCCTCTGTTTCCTGTCCCAGGAACTCCGACCTGATTACCAGCAACGCAAGAATACGAGTGAGTCGGCCTTCCTTTGTTCCAAAACGATGGTTCTCGAGTCCATGTCTATCCCAGCTTTGAAAATGAGTGCAGGACCTAAACCTGCAATTTTAAAGTAACGGCCTCTACAGCGTCAGCTTTGTGAACGATTGGCTCGGGCAAAGATCGCGCCAAAGGACGACACTGATGGCGTCACGCAGAAGGTTTTGGCTTTGGTCAGAGGCAGGAGTCACTCGACAAAGCTGACAGTAAGGCAACGGGTAAAATGCATGGGTAGAATCTACTCAAGACCATCTCAACATGCGACTTTCCGTTGTGCAAACATGACTCCGCTTTGCGTGTCGGAGTTTCGAAATGTACTTCTTCGGTTTATTGGTTGTTCGGGGACCGCGGCTCCTGAGTTCGTGGGATCACTTCGCTGTTTCAAACAGAGTCTGGTCAAAGCCACAACGAAGCTCTGCTCCTGATCCGCCACGTGTCGTCCTTTCAGAGGTGGGCCATTTACAAGCGCATGCTGTTCATGGGCTACAGCACGCTGGGTAACCAGTGGGTTTCGCAGGGTTACGAGCCTAACCCGGTAAGCGCCCACCTCATTGATGCCACGTTGCGAGTGTGTCAAGACCTTCGGCTGTACTTCGGGGCCTTCCTATTTGACACCAGCGGCAGAAGTCGTCAGTTTACGTCGATTGGCAGAAGGATCCGAGGACGGGTCAGTCCAGAAGTGACAGTGACGTACATTATAAGCGCAACCAAGTCAGATGGTTTGAGCTAGTGGCTCCTGCATCTACTGCATTGATACTTTCGAGTTTTGCCTCGCAACGCCTTGTTTGCCCTCGTTGTTTCTGGCGCAAGTGCTTTTATCCAACCGCAAAAGCGTCGTTGCTTTCCGGTTTCGTATCAGTAGTGCCTCGTGGGCGTTGATCATTTCAAAAGCATTAGTTTAGTCCGGCAACTGAGTTCGCAATCTGTTGTCAAAGCTGCACCTCCTTTCCTTAAGCTGAACGGACCCCTGTTGTCCAATCTCTTCTCAAACTTGAGTGATCGTATACTCCGATATCAGTCTTCTGAGCGGGTTGGACATTGTCGATACAACCCTTCAAGCAAGAGCAAAGCAAAATCCGATTTCTATCGCCCAGTATACTCGATACCTTCTCTCGTTAAGAAGCAACGTCCAGTCAGAAGAGGTTGCTTATGAGTCTTGATCGTTGTAACAGGTCCTCTTCAACCCGGTCGTTGAGAGGATTGCCAAGCTCCGCAACTGCACCGCGGCGCAAGTGAGTGACGTGGCAGCCCGGACACGTGGCTTCGCAATATGCTCATTTCCAACCTTTTGAATCCTTCCTTGAGGTAGAAACGAGTATGAAGAGACACCTTTCTTGAGCTTGCATGTTTCTTCGCTGCCTGAGGGTTAAGTCCGTCCAAAGCCCCTATGAAATCAGATTCTTTGTTGTGAGGCCGTTGCTGAAGAAGAGGGCATGCACCCGTCGTTGATTCTGGGTTTTCCAAGGGGTGTACTGTGCTTACTGCGCGCTGATGCCGCTGTGCTGTACCGGGAATGCGTTCTGTTTGCTGTGACAACAGCTGGCGATTGTGACCCAAACCCCAGAACTGCGATGCTCATGGATTGCTAACAACGTCCCCCAAGACAGCCCTGTTGGCGTAACCGCCGACATGAAGCGATGAGCAGTCAGCGAATCGTTCAGACGTCGCTGCAAAGCCCTTATATCCCTGGTCAATTGACGTTTGGAGTCGAAGACGTTCCACTTGTTCTTTCGCGCTGTCTGCATCCATCGGAAAGCCGTGCGAAGGTTTCCTATTTTTCTCAAAGGCGTTGTTCCTCCCGGTTCTGATCTATGCTCGGGGCGTTCAGGTGGCACTGCGGTGGGCGCTCAATTGGGACCAGGTAATCATTCCCCGGTCACACACCCGGGAGCACATCTTCGAGAACTTCCGGGTGTTTCAGGGGGAGTGCGAGGTTGACGGGGCGGAGATGCACGCTTTGAACGCCCTAGAGAAAATGGGGGTGGATCGGGTGATGGAGACATATGAGGCGACGCATCAGAGCTGAAAGTGGGGGCACGCGGGCGGAGGGTTTGTTTCGGCACTGTTAAAATTATTTGCGACCGGCTTTTTAAAAAGGTACTAACCAAGGTGATTAACCCGGCTTGTCAGTGAGCGCCTCTTCATCGGGATATGCTAATCAAACACGTGTTTGACGGTCATGAAGCGCATCTGGCAGATTGATTCCTGACAGAAGAAAGCTGTGGCAGGAGGATTCTTATATCAAGTTAGATGTATTCCGGCCTTCTCATGGTAACTGTTTAGCAGACCGTACATGGTCGGCCGTCTTGCAGACTACAGGCATTTCCAGGCTCAGCCATCGAATCCTGCCGTATCCCATGATGAGGCCTAATGAGGGTACGTGCATACTGCTATATTTCCTGTAAAGTAGACCATACGTACTGGACGGTACTGCATGCGCCCAATGCTTAAATTGATCATGCATGGCGCATGCATGGCCGGCATGCCGGCACCTCATTGGATCGCAAGATAATGGACAAGCCATGTCACCTGTCGTGCAGCCGTTTCAGTGTCTGCGTAAGTACACGTGCCAGTGCACATAGCGGCCTAGGCATGTATACGTGCGATCGGCCACGTTTTCGACGACATCAGCCATGGCATCATTGTAGCGATTTATGCGGTCACTCGTGTTAACTTGCCTAATTTGCAATATCTGGAAGATGCCCGCGTCGAGGCGGGCCTAGCGTGTGCACTGAGGGGCAACCTTTGACCAAATGAGTCTCCTTATAAGTGAGTCGGAGCCTGTGACAGTTTCCTATCAACGTCCATATGTTGACCCGCATTGGGTTCTTATAGACCTCGCATTCGATTCTTTATCAGAGTAAGTATGACCGTGATCGATTTACGAGTGATCAGGACCAGCTCGCGACTTTGCAACGCGATTAGAAAGTAAACCTCGTGACCCAGTCTACAATACAAGATGTTCAAGTGAAGCTACAATTGGAGACTTCCATGCTTTGTAAGTACAGAATCTTATGTTGTATGAGTGCGGATAAATCAGGGTTGTAAGTTTGTCACGAGTATTTCAACTCATCAGCATGAATTCTTGAGGCGTCGGACATTGTATCTTCACTGAGGCCCGATGACTCCGGTCGTTAATTTCACTAAGGCAGTGCTTTGACGAACTGGGGTCAGGATCAACCTACATGTCAACAGCTAGCTTACACTCACATTACCGGACAACGCTTTGAACAGTAACTGCCGAATACCTTTTCAATCCAAGCCGTTCAAGAGTTTCTACTTAAGGGAGGCCACTTAACATACTCATGACTCCGGACAATCTAAGCGCCTTCCCCAACGCCCGTCCCGCTTTTGACCTCTCCAGCATTCGTCGCTTGCGAGTACTCAAGTCATCCCAAACTTCGGTAGCTGCCCGTGTAGGACGAATTCTAAGACTCGCTAAACCGGCCAGACTCATGTTTGGTTCTCATCCGGCCAGGTCAGAAAGCACTGCGCAAATCGCTGCTCCACGTCGGATGACGCTCCGCTCGGGCTTCGATGCCCCGCGGAATGTGAGCTCTGTTCTTTGGCTTCACGCACTGCCACGTCGGCCCCAGCCGTCGTTGCGTCAGGCCCACCGGCCGAGTCCCCGGGGAGCGGAACCTGCCCCGGCGGAACTTGCTGGGCGAGCCATTGATGCCACTCGGCACCGTTACCCACCGGTTCTATTCTCTCAGGGGCCTTGGGATCCTCCAACCCGACCCATCCCGGCATGCGGTCCCCCTGCTTCAACCCCGCACCCGAGGCATTGGTCTCTTCCAACCGGTCGCCCGAGTCCCCCATATCGTCAGGAAGCTCGTTCCACCCTCCCCCCTCCGTCGCCTGTTCGCCCCCCCCCCCAACGCCCGGTTCTTCCAACCGGAGCCCTTGCATGGGGCCGACGTCGACCGGTTTTCCAGAGTGCCCCCCCATTGCTCCACCCAAAAGGCCCCCCCGGCGCGGCCGCTTGCCGCCCCCCTCGGTGTAGGGGGTTCTGATCGGGCTCGAAGCGGAGTCGGGTGTCGATGGCGAGACGAGCGACACGCTCCCGTCGGCGACGGAAGCTCCAAACCCTTCCCGGTTATCGCCCTCCTCGTAGGGAAGTACGGGGGTTCCGGACCGGGTTAGCGTTGACAGGAACGCGATGGCAGCACGCATCTGCACGTGCTGCTCCCGCAGCTTGACAACCTGGTCGGGGTCTAACCGGGTCGGGTTAGCGGGGTCCACCGCGTTGAATTGCTTGGCCTGCTGGTCCAAGAGGCTACAAAGGTGCTCCGTGACCAGCTTGGTTAGGGCCGGGTTAGCGACGCTAGCTTTGCGCGGGGGAGAGTGCTGCCCAGACTCGGCACCGGCCCCCCATGACGCACGCGGCTCTTGGGGGGGTGGCTCATGCCCTAGATACAAGCCCCCCGGACCACGACCCGCCGACCCGCTTTCCAAGGACTGACGCGCCGGCAGAAGTTCTTCGCAAGGGTGAGGAGTTTGCTCGGGATCTAAAGGAGTTTCGTCAGGGGGGCTAGACTGCAAAACGAAAGCCGAGGGCTCGCCCCGACTCTCGTTCTCGGAGGCGCTTCGCAGGAATTGTTTTTCCGACAGGGGGGACCCGACCGTCCACCGGAAGAAGCTGTTGTCCCCCCCAAAAAGATGAGAGTCCGTGCCGCCGAAGCCGGCCGAAGTCGGGGGGCTCCCGAAGCTCCTCAAAAGCTCCCCCCCCTCTCCCGACGCCTGGGGCTTGTGAGCTTGCACACGGGTGGCCCCCGCAGGGGGTCTCCGAATTGTGTCGCTCACTTCTTTCAGCAGCGCCGTGAAGCTTCCGTCGAGGGGGGGCGAAAACTGGGTGTTTGCAACCCCCTGGGCGACCAGCCCCTCACTAAGTGGGGCCTCAGACTCGTCCCGCCCCGCCCCTCCGCTGCTGGCTTCGCTCGCACTTTTCCCGATGGCAGCCCGCAGCCACCCCGGTTCGCTGACGTCAGCGGAGGCGTACCGCGCCAGGAGGCCGGGGGGAACCCCCGAGACCATATCCTCCCACCGCACCCCCCCCCTCGGCAGCTGCTGTTCGGCACCCCCCCCCGGACCTGGATGCCGCGCGTTTAGAATCGCCCACTGCGCCTTCCAATCAAAGTTCTCTTCGGCACTATTCCCTGAGCCGCTGCTTCCTCCGGAAGCGTCAATCTCGTCCAACGGAAGGTCCGAAACCACCAGCCCCCCCGCCCTTGGCGAGTGCCCCTCACCCCCTTGACGCGTTTTCCTTTTCGCCGCCCCCCCCGTTGCCACAAACGCACTGCCCCGCCCCTGCTTCTGGAGCGGGATCGTCACAGGTGTTGAGCCGCCAGTTTCGGTCAGGTGGAACGCCGTCTGCTCAGGGGATCCCCCCGACCGGGAGCTGGTCCACTGCGCAAGCAGCTGCGCCTTCCAGTCGAAATGCCCGCCGCTTTCAGCCGGGCGCTCGCCACTCTCGTTCTCGCCAAAATCAATCACACCTCGATCCCTCTTTCTCGTGCTGTCCAAGCTCCCAGCTTGCGGCGAACCGCTCGATGTTGCCCGCATCCGGGGGGTCCCCACCTGGGGATCCTGAAACCCCCCTCGCTCTTGCACGGGGACGGGGGATCCCCCCCGGGGCACGTCTCCAGGCTTCGCCCACTCCGTTATCCATTGCGATATCTGGTCGAGCCGCCAGACTGTCCCCGCTGAGTGCGACCGTTTACTCGCCCCCCCAAGAGGCGTCTCTCCCCTGCCCCGCTCAGGGCTTTCGCTTCTTTGTTTCTTTAGGGGGATCACCGGCCCGTCGTTTTCTGCCCCCAGCTTGCGGGCCAGCTTTGCAGTAGGCCCCTCTTCGATCACATTATCGAGAGTGAGCGCGACGGGCGGCTTCCCATCTGAAACGATTGGCATACGTAATCTCGGCGGATCGCCGGTTTCCCCGGGGTCTTCTCCAGCCTGAGCGATTGCTATCTCTGGCCCCCCCGGAAGAGCCGTAAGTGGCAGGGGTTTGTCGGATTCCTCCATGTCAGAGGGTGCACCTGGCTGGGAGGATATGACCCCCTTGTCGGACTCTCCCCGGTTTTCAAGGGAGGGCTTTAGAGAGGCGATGTAAGCTCGGAGAGGGGACGGCGCGAACTTCTTTGCGCTGGTGCTTGTATCCTGCAAAAATCGTGAGGAGAGACGATGGTGAGCGAGGGGTTTGGATAGTGGGTCAGCCTACAATGCCCGTTGAACATCGCCTCACGTTTACGTTTTGCTTCGTCCATGGGCATTGAAATGGTTAAGCACAATCGCAGTCGTTCTTTCGGGCCCGAAAACTTGCTCAGGCAGGGGTTAGCTTGCACTAACTCAAATCGGCTGTCATCAGACTCCACTCAGAATACAACCCGAAAGACGGGCAAACCCAGCCTGAAAGAAACATCATCCTGTGATGCTCGACTCTTGTCTGGTCTAGCCGTTCCAAATCCGAACACGCCGTAAACTCAGTGCTCAATATCGTTGACTGCTATCCAGACGCCAAACAAGGATTCCCCTGCGATTCACAAAACGAACCTGTCGAATCAAGATAAGAGTTGGTGGGTTTACTTATGAACGCCTTGGACACGCAGACTCAAAACTTGACCTGCAATGGACCCTGACTTGTGGTCACCTCCCAAAGGTCTGATCAACGAAAGGCTTCAGCAGACCCACCACTTACAAATACCTTACAAGTCCAAGTTAGAGCCAGTCGAGCAGCTTTACGCAGACTCTGGTAACCTCAGCCGACAAAACCCGACCTGGCCCGTTTACATAATCATGCTCCCTGCCGATGCATTCTGCAGATCACGAAGCACAGATACAAAGGGAAGAAGGACACGGACAAATAAGACGGAAGGTCTGAGGACCCTCTAACAATGAGTCCTGTAGCAAGACAGGCGGAGACAGGATCCTTCCAGAGCCCTTGGGACAAAGACCTCAGAGCACTCACTTTGCATGTTCTCGCAACGCAGTTCCAGTGGTTCTTGATCGTGTTTTGGCCCCGGCCAGGGAGATGCCTCGCGAGTATTGCCCACCTAGAAAAGAAGGACGAGTTAGACAGAACCTTATATGACGACATTTGAAAGATCAACACGAGGATGACTTTGCAGCACTCTTGAGGTCCTGGGCGTCGGGGTGACACGAAAGAGAAGGAGGAGGGCAGCGTGAAGAAAAGACCGGTTACATCCTTTTGTAGACGGAGGTCGTGAAGCTGGAGACCCTCTGGATTCCGTTGAGAAAAGACAAGGCTGAAAGATTGGGCAAGAGAAATTGACGGGAGTGTGTGTGGGGTTCGAGAATTGGGGCCACAAAATGGCCTCAGGAGGAATATGAAGAGCGGTTGTTGACTCAAATGTTTGGGGTTGAGTCATTGCATGTATGACTTGGAGTATTATCCATCTCAAACAGGAGGAGAAGTGCATCTTGGGCACCAACATGGAAGGGCCACACGAACTCAAGGGCATGGCCATGAAGCAGTTCTTCCTTCTTTCCCAAACTTTTCAGTCTTCCCACTCAGTAGCGTAAAGCAGAAACTCCCAACTCTCCTTACACGAATTGAAGCTCAGCTGGGCATGTTGCAACACAGTTCAAGAACACGATACACCTGATCTTGAGCAAAAATAGAGACGGTGCCCTCACCGGCAGCCAAAGCGCTTATGAAGCTCCACCATGCATCGGTCCTCCTCGGCCGTCCATTCCTTCTGCAACGAGTAGAGAGGCAAAATGAGACATGCGTTGGGCAAAAGAGAGACACCAAAGGAGGACAAGCTGGATTCCTTCTGGATCTAAAAAAAGGATGTCCTTTGCGCTGAAACGAAATTGGAAGAGGCATTCTGGTACAGCGAAGGTCTGGGTGAGCATTCGCGAAAGTAGATGACAAACCTGAAAGACATCGAGAATACCGAGGGCTCAAGTATTCTCAAAAACCAAGACAATGGATGTAAGAAGAGAGGCAGCAAAGAAAGAGGGAAGTGGCAAAGCCTTTTCCGGCTTTGAGGATCAGAGCGTTACATATTCACATGAAGGCAGCTATTGTTGGGAAAAGAAAGCCAGCAAGCAACTACAGTAGTTTGAAGACTTTTTGTAATGGAAGGTGTTCCAGCTGGTTGCATTGTTGCACGGCTCCAGAAGTGCTGGGAAACAGGGCTGGGACCACTTCCAAAGGTTGCACTTACTCGTTCATATTATATTTGGGTTGTTGGTGTGTCTGAACAGATTCGCTTTGTGCCACCTTGCATCTTATTCTTGTGGATTTCTTGCTCCAGAAAGATAGCTCTAGCACCCTTTAAACTGCGTGCACGTTTTGCTCTTTTCCCCCTCGCTTCCCCTCTCCTGACTCAGTGGGTATGCAATTGCCATGTACCAAGCAATTCTTCAACAAGGCTGAATTAAGAGCTTGCAGCAGCGGAACAGAAACCTTCAATGCCAAGAAGGGGGCAACAGCTTGAAAGCTCATGGTCAGCATGCAGGTAAGAAGCCGGATTCAAGCCCACCTAGAGGGTCAAAGTCAGACTTTCTGGAAAAAAACTTCCACTCTGAAATAACGTCTGCACAACTTCCAGCCTCCAGGCGCAGCTGCTAGATTTGAAATTTGGGACTCTGAGAGTCGACATGCAATGCATTGAAAAGGCAAGATTCGTATTTTCAGTCAGTGATGCAACATCTTCAGAATGTGAAACTTTTGACTTCAAAGTTTTAAGCCATAACAAATATGTGGACATCTAGAGACCCCTCAAACTCCGCAAACTACCGGTACTTCCGGTATTAATATGCCGTTTCCAGCTAGAAAGCCGGTCACCTGTGACCTGTCAAATTGCCTGCCATCGTGGAGCGACGATGGAAATGGTGGCAGTGCATCATGTCCCTGTTCTTTTGATTGAGGCACCGCAGGACTAGCTACCGTTCTGCAAGGTAGGTACTCCGAGTCTGTGCAACGCGTCCATCATTGCTTGGGTTCCATTTGTGACGTCACCACCTGATCGGCTGGAGACTTCGAACTTGGATCCCAGAGTTCTGGAGTCTGGACCCCATACTCCAGAGTCCAGACCCCACTCAGCACTGCCCAGACTCTGGAGTCTGGACCCCGAATAAAGTAAAGGCTTATAGCGTATGTTGGCGACTCCAGTTGTAACGGTAGCCTGACAGTAGTAAGTACGCCCGTTCTTAAACCTAGTAAAGTACGAAATTCAGTACCGTATCACCAATCACAACTCACCAGTGTGCCCACTGCCCAGGTCTTAATGTTGTGAATAGGTAGGTACCGACCTTGTACACTAGGTACCTATTACCTAGGTAGGTACCTTCCGTGTACCACTGTACATGAGTACCCGCCGCGCCGCCGACGGAGCGCGTGCTGAAAGTCCGATTACTGTCAGAATTTTGCTGGATAACACATTAATTCTCCGTACCCCTTCTAAAAGTACGGAAAATGTACACATCCCGGAGTTCTGCACACGAGATTACCATACCGGTAGTACCGTAGTACGGTACCCAGGGATTGCGAACTGCGCTTGTGACTGTACCATCCAATCACAGTAACGAGTACCGTACTAATGTCCAAATTCCAACTTGAAATACCGTACCTACCCCCTTGTTATTGTACAGTACTCAATCCTGTAGGGTAATACCGTACTGCCATTCCCATTAGAAGTAAAATAATTATCTTGAGCCCACTGCGGAAAAAAAAATAAACTAACTTTCGACCGAGGTGCGAAAATGCGAAATAAGAAATCAATTGCAAAATGCAATTTCCTGGCGGTTTTGAGTGGTAAAAAACGAAAAAACGGTCTTTTGCGAAAATTTTGAAAATTCGTCGAAGCCGGTGCGAAAACAAAAAACTTTCGAAAATAAATATTCGCACCAGCTTGGTGCGAATGGGAATGGCAGTACGGTACCGTATACCTATGCCGACGTCACTCGACCACTGCACTCCGGACAGGGGTCAAAGAAGATGCTCGACACTGACAACTTGACACTGGTGAAAAGTGACCAACATTCGGATACCGAGGACCTAGGACTAGGTTTTACCTTCTTCGTGGATCCAAATAAGATAGAGTCCTCATCCAAAGTCAGACGTGAGTGAGTACGAATTGTCTGCCGTTGATAGTACCTTATTTAGGTAAGTGGAAGCTGAAGCTCAAACAGATTGACGTCTTGCCTGGCGCACTGCTCTTTTCGCCACGCAAACCTCAACTTTACTGATCAGACATGGACCAGTCAGTGGAAGAGTCTTCTGTTGGTGACATGAAGTGACGTAGAAGAAGACAAAGCCTCGGCACAAGCTGCAATCCTCCTCAAAAGCGCAACTTCTGGCCATGCCTTCTGTTGGCCGGCACCACTATTCTCAGACACAGACCTTGGACAGGTGGCTGAGACTTTCCTGATCAAACCCAGAATCCCAAGCTTGCGATCATCGTGGAGAGGCCGGACAAGGTGGGACCAAGCAGCTGGAGGAACGCGGGCGAGGCGTTCCTTCCACGTGACCAGCTGCAACTGTTTTACAACCAAGTCTGAAGGGACATGGTCTCTTCTCAAGGCTATAGCAACCAATTTGGACAAAAAGGACAGAAAGTTTTGGACCGCATTTCCGTATGATTGAGAACGTGAAATAGCGCACTCCGTTGCAGTGAGTTACTGAAAAGGAGTACGTGAAGCTCCAGGATCCGTAGTGAGAAAAGAAACCCTTCATGAAGGCGGAAGTTTCCAAGAGATATAAGACCTAGCAAACGACGACTGGCTTGGTGGTCGGACAGTAAAGACTGGCCCGAATCAGTTCGATTTCCATGGCAGATCACAGCGACGCGAAAACGACTTCCGTCCGGTTTCCATCGCAGATCATAGCGACGGAAAAACGACTTCCGAATGTGTGTGGCAATGATGCACTTGCCCAAAAAGCGTCTGTATCATCCGACATACAGAGCAGTCAGACTCTTGCACGGAATGTGCAACTCATAACCGAAGAATCAAACCCCGGAAATAGAAGCACTCGTCTCCAAGTGCAATGGATAGAAAAGGAAGCACGTGGAAGAACTCCTTGAGTCTAGTGATCGAACAGAGATTGTTGTTCGAGTCCGTCTCAGCAATCAACAATACAGGTGCTGTAGAACCAGCACACACTCCCGCTTTCAGATGACAAAAGACTAACATCCAGTGAAAGCGACAATGGAAGCGCCCCCCTAAGCTTCAGCTTTCAACTCAGTCCCCCACTTTGATCTCGAGGTGTGTGACTGGTTAGCCAGGCGTCCTTCAACCAGATTCTCATTTCAAGCCCGGGAGATAAGTTTTCAATCTAGCTTTCCGTTGCAAAGCCGTAACTGAGAAGGGCGTTTACTCCGCTCCTGATCAAAGCTCACCCAACCGTGCAAAAAGTACGGTGCTGATCTTCAGCGAGCGCCCTTCAGTATGTAATGGACGCTTTCTAAATTGATTCCGTCACTTTGTGATGTGGGTAGTTAGAAGCAGCGTTGAATGAGAAGGAAAGTCTAGTTACGAGTTTGACGCCCTGAGACTACGGGCAAATCGCGGGAAGAATGCGGGAAGGACAGGAAGATAGGAAGAACACAAACGGGTCGAGACACACGAGGGTAGGATGGGACGTTATTTAGACCACCACGTTCCACTCACCGCACTCAGCTCCGGATCAAGCGCGTTGTAGAAGCGGTTGCGACACTGCTTCCCAGTCCGCCCCAGCATGCGTCCCACGCGCGCCCACCCCGCCTTCCCGTTCTCCTTGACAAAATTCAACAGTACGACGTCCTCCTTCTGCACACGAAACCACGGGTCAGCCAGGGGCAAAAGCGTTTGCAGACAATTCGACGCATTCACTCCCCTGTCAACCACCCCGGAATCACGTCCCGAATGTCGTCTTTCATAACTGCACTCAGGAAAGCTTCAAAACCAGTCAGAAGAGAAGGGTTATATGATAACATAGCAGACTGCAGTTTTTGATTCAAGTGGCCAAAGTATCAGCGCTGACCCGCCCACTAGCTCCTCTGTAAGCCGTCACAAGCCCCTTGCTTGCAGGTGACACGCGCAAAGGTTGTAAATCAGCAGCACTCTGAATAATATCCATGTGGTCCATCCTTAGCAGCTCGATGGACACTCTATGCTGATTACAAGGACCTATCTGATAGATACGATGGTTGCGCCCCGCATCTTGCATGCTTCTTTACAACGTACTATCGAGTACTGTTTGTCATGCAATTGTTAATTCCTGTACTTTATCTCTATCACCATTCAACAATCCGACTCGATGAGTCAGCCCGTTAAACATTCGCTGCCTGTGTATCGTAGCCTTGTTGATCGGTGAACCGCTTAAGCCAGCAAAATCAACATAAAGTTGCCGACGCAGGTTTTCCGAGGACAAAGAAGAGTTTTCACACACACGTCTGCCATTCTTTGACACTCATAAGACATCTTGCTAGGGTTGCCTCCCGTCTCCTTGTATAGCTCCAAAGGGAGTCAGACGCATCGATTGCCCCTCTCGGATTGCTCGAGGCAGCGATCACGGCATAACCTCTTGGGAACATACCTTGGACCACTTTGGCAATGGCCGCATTTCACCCGCCTTGCCCCCATCGGAGCCGCTGCCCGGATCGAGGGTCCCAGATTCCTACAGGGTCAAGCGTTTGGCTTAGCTGAAACAATCAGACAACTGATCTAACCAAGGCTGGCAAATCAAGCGAACTCCTTGCTTGAGAGGCTGCTTCAGAAAGCTGGATTCATTGTTGGTTCTGAGGACGTGATGTCTAAAATGACATATGTCTAGAAAGACGCGTGACTGAGTATGCACATTCGAGTTGGAGTGTGCCCACCCGGATCAGAGTCAATCCGAGCAACCTTGTCATATACTTCAAGAGTAATATGTCAATTTTCCTGGTGCGCTTAGAGATGACAGACCCTCTGAAGCCATCACTCCTGGTTCCTATTACAACTAATATTGTTCCAGCTGGTGTTCAGCAAACAACTATGCTTGCAACAAAACCTATGCCTGCAAGAGCACTTCAACCTGCAATCGATGCATCTCAGTCCCAGTCTCATTGCCATACTGAATGTGGACCATTGGTGTACAATATTCCCAGTCATTCCCTCCTCCAAACAGCAGGGATGAGGTTGAAAGTTGGTCACACATTTTGACTTGCACGCTGCTTTTTCATTCAATCTCTTCACCCCCATTCTTGAACTTCAGGCTTTTACAAACCCCCAATGACCCCAGTATGCTCATTGAACTCCTTCTCGTGGTTTTATTTTCCCAGCAGACTTCTGGCAGTCATCAATAAGAAGCGGATGACGCATCGTGAGCTTGCAAAAACAAAATGCGAGCATCCAACTCAGGCTGCTCACTCTTAAACTACAGGTGCACTACCAGTACTGCAACATCTAATTCACTTTACAGGAAACGAAAAATGAGGCTGCTCAAAACGTCAAGTGAAAAGCGCCAGGCATTCAGCGGCTTACCCTTGCTGCTTTATCCCGGAACTTGTGGCCGTTGTGCGGTTTCTGCTTCCAGCCCTCCCCTTGGTTGCCAGGCGCCGTGAACCCCTTTCCGCCTGCTAGCTCTGGGGATGGCTCCTCAAACCCAATGATGCAGATGGGATTCTCTATGGCATCTTCAGGGGCCGACTCGACGATAGGGACTGAGGACTCCATGTAGGAACACAGAGAGGCACCCGCGCAGGCTGAAATCTGGGACCTAACCAAGGTGATTCATGACCAAGAACCGTGTCCTGATCAGAGTGGTTGGAGAAGCCTAGGAAGTGGTGTTTGGGTACCGCTCAATGGAAAGAAGCTTGGGGCCTGCAAGAAGGGTGTTATGTTGTGAAAACCCAAGATGAGCTGCCTCCTTGTGTGGTAAATGGTTCAAGGTGGCGGGCCATGCTGAGGAAGCCATTGACAAGCTGCTAAGATTCCCTTATCTGCTTGAAAAGGTGGCCAAACAATTGCAAAGACAGAAAAAGACTTAGAAGGGAAAAGGTTTAATATGAAATCATGCTTTTTCCAAGATGTCACAGCAGGCCACATCTCTCATACATTACACAGTTTTCCAATGGAAGAGGAAAACTAAGTATGATAAAATGCCACCTTCGTAAGTTGTCGAGGCAATCTTTAATTCGATCAGGACGTTCATTGAGTTGGTCAGCTGCAACGCCACTTCTCGATTCTCATTCTTTCCATCCGTGGAAAGACATGAGCAGTCAAGCAAACAATCTAATATCTGAGCAACCGCCTTGACAATATCCCTTTAGCTCTCGCAGTCTTGTAAAGCTTAGGAACCAAGACAACCACCCTCATGATGATGGCAGGTGAGACTCTTTCATTCAAAACCAGCAAAAAGCTCACGTTGAGAAGGTCAAATTCAGATCACAGAGGCCTTTTCGCTCCTGATTGCCAGAGGGCGCTAGATTTCCTCATGCAATTCCTCAAATCTGGCCAGGCGGATGCAAGACTGACCTCAAGAAACCACTGTTAAATTCCGTGAACCCTCCCCTCGAAGTACGAAGCTTCAGGTAGTCCGCAATATTGCTACGATGCAACTTATTTTCGGCAGGGGAATCTTTCCCCTTCTAGCTCCATCTTATGCTTGTGGCATTCCGCAGCCAGGGCGTCACATCAGCATATTCCAGCCCTTTTACAGCCATTTTGCAGAGCTTCGCAAACTTCCTGCTCACCTCTAGCTACAATATTTAAGTTCTCTGCAGCATTCCGTGCATGCACATTCACCGCTGAAAAAAGCCGATGCTTTTTGCATGATGATGATGGCCGTATTCAACTAGTGACTCAATCCCTCTCGGATCTTGTGAAGAATCGGCTTTGGAGTAGATGACGTCAACGTCTCTGCAGGATGGAGAAATCTTACGTCTTCGGCAGCTCTTCTCCGACGGGCTTGAAGCTCTATATAAGTCTAGGTTTAAAATTAAAAGGCTACATCTGTTGGTTCATGGTTCAATCTTATGCTAAGAGATCTGCTTGCTTCTGCTCCTCCTCCTCACCATGCACGGTCTGCTTCCAAACCACAATGCGTACCTACAGGCTACATGTGCAAAGCGCTTTTGGACGTCTGACTTTAATTACGACCTAGGTATT